GGCACCGTCAAACCATGGAGTCTGAAAGAGGCAATTCTACAATGTTTTATATCAAATGCCTTTACTACGCGATCTCTCATCATATATATCTATGATAGAGCTGTTTTTTAGCCTTAGTTACTTTGTGAAGACTTAAAAATAACTCTAAATGGTTCGTGAAATACAAAACATTGCCAGCCGCCTTCTGTTTTCTGTACATTGTCAGACGTAGGGTATATAGATTTAACACCGATTAGCTTAGGATTATATTAGGGACTGACCTCTGACCTCTTCAAGGTCATCCCAACTTTTTTATCATCCTCTTTTCTTTCCAACCACTTATTTTTTAAATTTTAAATCGTTCTTCCTTTTCTCTCTCTCCTCCCTTTTCCTTTACTATTCTTACATTTATTCTATCCGTCACCACTTCCATCAAAATTCTTCAAATGTGAAATAGTGCCCATAAATCACCTTCATTTCCTTATTGCTAAACTTCATATCGATTACTATTAATATTATGTAGTTATGTATGCCCTTTTGGGCCTTCCTTTTCCTATTTTATCATCTCTTATAATAAATCTAATGGACCAAGTCTTCGTATTTTCATTTCATTAAGACTAGACTACAGAATTACCCCAGTACACCCAGACACGAATCAGTTTAGTAAAAGTTTGCTTCTGCAATTGGACAAACCGGAACATCCTGTCGCCCACAGTGCTAACAACATCCATCAAGGTCGTCAAATTATAATTTCATACATTTAAATTCACCTATGTTAGCATCATCAGAATTCATAATTCATTTACTTGCAAAAACACTGAATGGTTGACATGGAACAAAATAAGTGACTGTCTCTGGCCAAACATCAGGCATACGAACATCATCATCATCGTCAGCTTACACGCATCCACTGCCGGACATAAGCCTCCCCTTGAGCACGCCATCTCTCCCGGTCTTGTGCCGCCCGCATCCAGCCGCAAGGCGTCCCACACTACGTTTTAATGACGTGGTCGCCATTCCAGAACAAGTTTGCTCCATTGATGATCAACTCACTTAAGCTTACTGATTTTGTGAGCTACAAACATATTTAAGGTATCTTATACAGTCACTCACATGCATTTCAACAGACTAAACTAGGTGTAACAAGTTTTTTAATGGTTTCACATGTGCGTGCACACATAGATTTATTAAGTTTTTTCGTTTTTATGATACTAAATGTCGGGACGAACAAGTCGTGCTCCTAACGGTAAGCGACACGCCTGTCCATAACAGTGGCAGTGCCACTCAAAACTTTAATACCAAGGATCTGAAGGGCACTGCCACTGCGCCCGTCATCCTCAGACATAAGTTGACAAATCCTGTGTGCCTGTAATTTCACCAGCACCCTTACCCTTCCAAACCGGAACGCAGTAATGTTCCCATTACTGCTTGGTGGCAGAAATATATACGATGGCGGAACTTCCCTTCTCACGGAGCTCTGCCTCTACGTGTGTAAGCAATACTTTCGAGGTTATAGAAATCACATTGATTTGGAATGAAATCATATAATTAATGCTCAAACAATGCGAGGTCAGGTAACATTATAAAGTCATCACACATTAGTTATTTATGTTATGACTCATACAACAGCCGACAGGTTACGTCAAATTTATAATGCAGTCTTAATTTTGGTAATAAACTTATTGTACTGAGTGTTTTTTTAATGTGACCCATTTATTAGATTTTTTGTCCCATACAATGCAATGATCCCGTCACGAAATTGAGTCGATCAGTAGTAATAAAAAGAAAATTTGATCTTTTTGATTCTTTTTTATGGACGTCACACACGCTTGACCAAAAAATTGACTATGTCAAAATTGTTTTCACAAAAAAAGACTTAATGGTTTGTTGTATCTTCTATGGTTTCGGATTTCCCCATAGTATTTGATTTTTAGTTCCGGACTTAATCATGTACAAAACATGGTTTAATTACCTCGACGTTTCGTACGTATCGCAACGTCCATGATCTCGAAGGGATTGAAGAGGCGGGTGTCAACACCTTCTAACCCGCACTTGGTCTTCATTATTTATTTGTTCACTAGAGTTGTCACTAGACCGACACACAACACTCACGACATCCGTCGACTTGTCGGGCGATACTTGATGTCGTTTACATTTGCTGATAACTGGATCCCATGACGCTGAAAGGTTACAACCGTGTTCTCGGTTGAAATTACTGTGTTTTTTAATTTCAAAAGCTTTACGTACGATTCTACTATAGTGATGATGTTCTGTAGAAAGGATGCTAATACACGGCTATTGCATACTTATTGAGCTGACGGTTCCTAACATTTTTCGCCATACTGTCCCATTAAAAAAAACACTCTGTGTATGGGCAGGATTTTTACAAGGTGGTCCGTCATGATAAAGGTCGTGGGAATCTGAAGCAGAAGACCGATTGTCATGGTGTTCTTTAGGAAAAACCTAAGTTCAATAGCTGACATCTTTCAGTTAAAAAGATTACTAAACTTTTCAGAATCGAAATTTTGTTTCGCATCGTAATTGCATATATTTGTTTTTTTTTTTTTCAAATAAACCAACTATTTAACAGACTCTTTACTGGTTCCATGGTCACGTTTGATTGACAAGAATATCAATCACTAAGAAGATAAAGTGTGTTAAATTTGAATTACGTAATGTAAAATCGACTAATTCAAATATAGAATTAAATTGAGAAAAATTGAACATTGTTAAACAGCATGTACTGTTTAAGTTCTCGGGCATCGAGGATATAACCAGAAATAGAGACGAATTATGGACCATAATTTCTGGTAACTCATCAGTGATACATCACTTATAAATATCAACTCTCGTTTGCACTTAAATTACAAACTAGAAAGCTGAAATAGTATAGCGCCAACAACTGGCCTGCGTATATTCCAAAAATATTCTGTATTTATTGTAATAAAGATAATATCTCTGACAATGGCGTGCTGTTCAATTTGGTGGTGTGGGGAAAAACAGCAAAACATCTAATTACAAAACAAACGGAATAAAATTTCATCGGTAATTAAATATTAAATATGTAATTTTCGTCCATTATAGCAAAACTCAAGTTAACCGGTCGATTTGAAGTGAAACAGTTGACGACACCCGTCAATTGTTTCGAACTCGGGCTGGCCAATCGGAGCGCAGTTGTCACAGTAATGATATAGCAGAATAGTTTTCAAACAAATTAAATGACATTTCGTCTCTATTTCTGGTTATGTACTCAATGTTCTCGGGTTTCTCTGAGAGAAAAGTTTAAGGAGACTGATATTGGTATCATGACTGTGGCATCACAGTACATTTACTCAAATATTTTGCATGTCCGTAAAAATATACATAATTTCATTAAGAAAAAAGATACCCATGACATTAACCTTAGATCTAAGTCTGTAACTAAAGTAAACGATTTTGGTAAGGGGGTTAAGATTTTCATTTCCTACGTTTAAAACCTATTAAAATATTTTAATTGAAAAGTCATACCACAAAATAGAAGACTACGTGTTAGATGTATGAAAAGACAACAAGGCTTCAGATTCCACACAAATTTGACTCAAAGTGTATTCCATACCATTTAAGTTTATTTAAAAAGAGCAATCCCTAGGGTTTTTTGCTCGTTCTTCTCAGGGAAGTCAGCATAATAAACGAGCAGTAGCTTAAAAAATAACGTTTGACTTGAGAAAACCCAAAAACTCTAGTAAGTCTTTTTTGAATATCAACCGGAATAGTATTATAGAAGCATATAGATATATTGCTCTTAAGCGAATTAACAACTATCTTTATAACCGACTTCAAGAAAAGGAGGACGTTTTCAATTCGACCCTATTTTTTTCTGTTTTTGTATCTATGTTACGCAATGACTCCGGCATTTGTGAACCGATTTTGATGATTCTTTTTATGTTGAAAAGAGGGTACCTCAGTATTTGTCACACTTCAATTTGAAGAAAATATTCCACCTCTAAGGGGATGAATTCGTTTTATTGGATCACACCCAATTTTCGTTTATCGATTTCAATAAAACTTACCAAATAGATGTAATGCCACTGACTTTTGAAGTCGGTATTTTTTTAATAAAAAAAAAATTGTAATGATCTTATATCAATACCGCAATTTTTCATGTGGGCTATTAAAATATGCCGTACGTATGAATTAAAAATGGCCGGTTTTTGAAATCGATTCAGAACAAAGAGATTTTATTAAAATTCCTAACTAGTGATGTTAGCTTTAACCTTGAAATCACCAAGATGACATTTAACCATATCGGATAACCGCAAATCAGAACGTTTACTCAACCGTGGTATGTATCATCCGCACATAACAGGAAATGGACTAGACATTTATTTAAATAAATAATTATGTAAAGAATGAGTTAACTAGCTCATTGACTTTGGCTTCATGATGCTTGTAGCCGACAGTACCTTGCACTTTGCACTATTTCCACGAATTAGCAAATATCCACATTAAAGTCGCTACCAAATATTTAGTAGCGGTGGTATAGGAGCTCTGACTGAAGCCTCATCTTATAGATAAGACTTGATGCGAGATTTAAAGCACCAAGATTGTCTTACAAGAGTAATATCAGTGCAATAGCATCAAACTTTTTCGTTCCATGGCTTAGTTCGCATAGTGTCTGGCACGGTTTGCTGGGAGACTTCAGTTTGAATCCGGCCGATTCGAATTACAACAAACTAGTGGAGTAATTTCCCAAAAAATTATTGAATATCATGACATTACAACAGCGTGATATTCAATGATAAAACTTAATTACATTTAATAGCGACATCTCTAGCCAGGGCTGGTAGCTGTAAAGGTATCTAACTGGGTGACGAAATACTTTCATAGATTTCTCACAGATGGCGCTAGCGATAATCCACTTCTGCGATAAAAATTAAACTATCTTTTTTAATCTTTTGAAAAACAAACGTAAGGGATTACGATCAGTTTCCCTTCCAAGGTATTAATTTAAAATAAATAAACAACAAAGAATTAAGTAACAATTAAATGTTTATATCTATAGACGTAACTTGAACATACACTTCTGCACAATCATTGTCATATTGCGTCATAAATTGTTGTCTAAAACTTTCCGGGAAATTAAAAAATCGAAAATAATTTAACGATTCAGTTTCATTTCTGGATGATTCAGTTTCATATTCCGATGACGTTTCGTTTTCGGATGATTCAGTTTCGTATTCGGAAGTATCGTTTTCGTTTTCCGATGATACAGTGTCACTTTCCGATGATCCAGTGTCACTTTCCGATGATTCCGTTGTATTTTCAGTCAATTGATCTGATGACGCAAGAACGTAATTGAGAAATTTCATACTACCGTCCCGTTTTAATGTCAACGTCTGTATTATAATAATGTACACTGCCTCGCCTTCTACGTTCACGGTAGTTTCTTTGTTATTTAAATCTAATCCTCTTTGAAATGTATTCCTGTATTCTCGATAACTACTCCAAATGAACGAGTTGTTCATGAGAAAATTGTCATAGTTTAATTCAAAACTTTTCAGCGGAGTTCTTACATTTTTTAATTTGTAAAAACTAACACTGTCATTCAAATGTACCGTGACCCGTGACTTTTCGTGGAAATCGTGTAACGTAAGTCCGTATGTAGTAAAATTGCCAACAAAGACAATGGGTCCATCGAACTCTGTGTCGCCGCACCCTTTCGCTTTGCTCGCCGACCATTTTCCATCACTCGGTGCATCCACGATTATCGTTGTCTTGTTCAGATACACTGTTTGAAATAGAAGGAACAGGAAACCAATTCGAAACGAAAACATTGGTTTCAATTTCTGAAAACAATATTCAATAATTATTAATTATAATAGGTTTTTCTTCCACCAATTATAAAATAGGTTTCTCTTCCTGCGGGTTGTACAAGGCGACTAAGTGATCAGCAAGCAAGAGGATGAGCTGCAGTATCCTCGAATATACTTGCAGCCGTGGTGATTATAGCAGGAGGTTTTGCTTTGCATTTGCGGGGAGGTAGAGGACGTCTTTCGTCTGAAATAATGATGATGATGTTGACAATAGGTTACATTGATTTAGTACACCTGACAGCATAGATTACCTGATCGCTTGAATTTGGAACTTCCCAATGAATACCAGTGTACGGTCTGTCTGTACAAATGGATCAGGAGATGACGTCTATTCGCGTCGAAGGCTTAGTCAGGACTGCCCTTGTCGTCTCTTGTTAAAACAAAGGAAGGTCGGTCAATTTCGAACTCCTGTCAGTCCAGTCTGTCCTTGTCAGTCCGATCATCCATGGACATCTTTTATTGGATATTATTAAAATATCAATTGACGGGACACGTCTACTAATAACAGTTGCAGTGTCACTCAGCACTTTAAATTGCAAAGACGTTGAAACAAAAAGTTGACAAGGCCCATATCTCAGAGCTTTACTGCTACTAAGAACGAGCTATATACTCATTCGTAAGGCAGATTCCCCTGAGAAGAATGAGCCAAATATCATAGATCGCGATAACCTGCAAGAACTAAACTGGTCACTAACAGATTGTTGTTATCCAAATAGGCTGAACTTAGACACCTTTAATACAAAGTTTTTGTTTCATTATAGTTTTAACTTCATAAATCGCAAAAGAGATGGATACAGTTTTGGGCCTAGATGTCAAAACAACGAGTATATAAACAGAAATAGAGACGAAATAAGGACCATCCGTTCTTGGCAACTAACCCATCAGGCAAATGCGCCTTGACTATATCAACTCTCGTTTGTGCTGAAATCACTAATTAGAAAGCTGAAATAGTACAGCGCCAACAAATGACCTGTGTGTACGTCTCCGTATATTCCAAAAAATATTCTGTATTTATTGTAACAAAGATACTATCTCTAACAATGGAGGGCTGTTCCATTTGGTGGTGTAGAAAAAACAGCAATGCATCTAATTACAGAACGGTAATTAACGTACACACAGGTCAGTTGTTGGCACTATTTCAGCGTTCTAATTTGTGATTTCAGTGCAAAGGAGAGTTGATATTTAAAAGTGATATAAGGCCCTCATGACCTCAACTTATTAATGCCCCTTCTCCGTTTACATTACTAGCCTAAAAATCAACTGACAGCTGTATTTGCCGCTGTCAAAGTATCACGTAAGAAGAATAGTAAATCAAACAAGCCTGATGGTAAAATTGTACCTTGAGACATGAATGAAATCATACAACAAATTAACAATCGGGGTCGCTGAATGAGGTGTTCTTGCGTTCCATTTCCGTTAGTACCAATTTTGAAAACGACGCTTTTCAAATTCACTCGAAATTGTTCTAAATATAGCTGCTGTGAACGATGTTAATGAATATACATATATTAATAATGCAACTTACACTTACTACAGTTAATAATGATTAGTTAGCAATCTAAAACTGTTTATGAAAACCATATACAACGCACCGCGTATGTTATCGGTAGATACAGGATGTTTTCCAACAGCGTTAGCAGTACCACTTGTAACCTAAAAATCGAAATTATTTTTATTTAATTGGTAAGCAAATTACACTTTTTTTATAGTATCAAGTGACGGGACGAACAAGTCATGCGCCTGATGGTAAGCTACACGCCTGTCCATAACTGTTGCAGAGACACAAGTTGACAAGTCCCATGTGCCAATAATTTCACCACTTACCCTTCAAAACCGGAACACAGTAATGGCGACATTACCGCTTAGCGGCTCTGTAACTTATATAACTTGATTACGCCATATTGATTAAGCTCTACTGTTCAATGGTAAGGCTAGGGCTGCTCTTAATAAATAAACATTTGAACACATTTATTACGCGATTATTTGTCAACCGATTTTTGTGATTCTTTACTGTTGGAAAGTATTGTCCTTAGTCCCATTTAAATTTGAAGAAAATGTTCCACCATTAAGGGTGGCAAACTAAGGGATGAATCCGTTTCGCGCACTTTCCGATAATCGACTTCAATAAAACTTGGCAAATATATATAATCCCATGAACTTTTGAATTCGGTTTTTTATTTACAAAAACAGTTACACATATCATATCAACCAGTTACGTCTAATATTACCTTTGATAATGATGACTTTACAACTTCAGTCAACCGTGACCATGGGACCTGTAAAGGACCCGAAACGTTGGTTTGTTTGAAAAAACAAATATACACGTTTTAAATCCGGAAAAATAGTTTCATTTCCTATGTGTAACAATCGCGAAAACTTAAAAAAAGTTACAATTATAAGACACCAAGTGATGGGACGAACAAGTCGTGCGCCTGTTGGTAAGCGACACGCCTGTCCATAATAGTTACAGTGCCAGTTAGAGCTTTAATCGTAAAAATCTAAAAAAAAAACTGTTATAGACAGTCGTGTGCCACTTCCCACCAGGAGCACGATTTATTCGCTTTTCTTCTTCCGTGGTTCGTCCCGTCACTGGATAATGATTAAAACAAACATTAAGGATTCAAAATAATCCCAATCATACTGTACATACATGTTATCAAACAAGAAAGAAATAAGCGTAACTTATTATGAGTTTATAATGGATTAATACGATCAGTTTAAGCTGGTTGTGATAATTTGTATTGAATGGATATTCAGTTATTTTCGTGAAATTACTCCACTAGTTTGTTATAATTATTAATACAGGACTGGTAGCTGTAAAGTTACCTAAATAGGTGACAAAATACTTCCATACATTTCTCATAGGCTACGGCTAAAAAGTTGTTGAAAACCAAATGCAAATATCCGATAATAAGTACTTACATAGAAAAATTCGTGAGGTTCGCTGGTTCGGTCTGGCTTAGGGCATAGCGTCTGGCAGGTTTGCTAGAAGGCGTCTGTTCGATCCCGGTCGGATCGATGGAATTTTTTGTAAGTATGGGTGATTAATAATCTTATAATATCACTTGTACTTAATTGTGAAAACACCGTCAAGAATGCTGTTTGCTCGTTGAACAAAGATACAATTTTTTTGTAAGCAGTAGAGCTCCTTATGAAAGTGTTCGTCCAGGGAAGTATTGCCACCTTACCTATTTCTGCCGCCAAGCAGTAATGTCAGCATTGCTGTGTTCCGGTTTCGAAGGGTAAGGCTGCTGGTGAAATTACAGGCACATGGGACTTGTGAACTTATGTCTCAGGATGTTAGGCGCAGTGGCCGTGCCCTTCAGATCTTTGGGATTTAAAGTTCTATGTGGCACTGCAACTGTCATGGAGAGGCGTGTAGCTTACCATCAGGCGCACGACTTGTTCGTCCCGTTACTTGATATTATAAAAAAAAATAACAATTATTCCAAGGCGTAGTAGACGTGACAAAAAATTCTTCAATCGAACTAATATTACAACACTACGAACACGAGATATGCAACACGTTAATTTTTTTATTTTAACAAATATTTTATAGGCTATAATTAGGCAACTTCAAAAAAAGTTGGGGGTCTTATTGTATTTTATTGGGAGTATGTTACACGATAACTCGGACATTGAAGAGCAACGACAAGAATGAGTAAGAAACTCTAGGGGTTGCTATTTGTAAATAAACATTTGTACAAATTTATCATTCACAATATTTATTTCCTGCAAGAGCTAAATCCCTACGGTAAGGTCCCTACGTACAAGTACGCAGAAGCTTTAGTACAACATTTTCGTTTATTATATAAGGTCTTAAACCAATTGAATCACAAATTTTGAATATCTACTGGATTCTTACTCTACAAGCGTATACATTTCCCCTTCAATTAATTTGTGACTCTCTAAAGACGACACTCAAAAATGGGTAACCTGTCACAAACTCGATTTTTTTTACGACATAACGTTTGTTCGAATATTCATTAGACTAAAGACCGAATTATAACGAAACCGTTGTCCTTTCAGGATACGTTGAATGTTTGTCGCAAAGACACGATTAGGTTTGATTAGCTTAAGTTAGTTTTAAAAGAAATTAATGTTTCGTCTGTCACTATTATTCATAAAAATACTGTTCTTTTTAACATACAATTGTAGCAGTAGAGCTCCTTGTGAAAGGGTTCGTCCAGGGAAATACTGCCACCTTACCTAAGTTCGCAGTAATGTGAGCATATACTGCATTCCGGTTTGGAAGAGTTCGTGAAATTACATGGACCTTGTGAACTTATGTTCCAGGGTGACGGGCGCAGTGGCAGTGACCTTAAGATCTTCTCCCGTCACTCGATATCATGAAAAGCACATATATATATAGCAACTAAGAACAACGGTTTACTCACAAATACATATATTGAAGAAAGTTGTGTGTAAGAAATTACAATGAAGTAAGTAGACGAACCTTTTATTTACTTTAGTTCGCAAAATTGCACATTAGAATAAAGTTACGAGATTATTAGACGGAACAAAAAATGGCGAGTTTTTGTACTTCAAGTTTTTACATAAATTATTTTTTTAAGTTACTGTTTGCGTATTTCAAATTACTCTTATGTATAGAACTGTATTAAAAATGTTCTCACCTTTGTCCAGTATCTTTTTACTATTTTTGTTTATTTCGTTTGTCGCGCTAAATTATAATAATTTTATATTACGTTGATAAAATTACCGTGCAAACCTGTCAAAATGTAAATTCAGCTGTGACCTTGCGTCCATTTTTCGAGGCGCGCGCAGTGCGTCAAAAATGTAACGTCACGGTGATCGCCATGTTCGCTATTGTATTAAAATTAAAAAAATGGCTGTTTTATCGCTCGAATTTGACAGCTAAATATTTTTTTTTAAATAAATTTTAAATTTGACAGCTATATGTTGTGTGGTGTTTAAGGGTTCATCGCGGCGGCATACTATGGACACTGTAATGTACTTCAAATAAAACTTGCTTTTTTTTCTAATATGAAAAATGTACCGTCTTAAGTGCGGTAATCGAAACAAATGTATGATCATAATATAAATTATTAATAATTATAAAAATATTTATTGTTAATTAATTTTATTTATTACTGTGATTGCTAAATACAGGGTGTCAATTTATAAACTACTATAATATTGAATAAATGTACCAGATAAGCACACCGATTAACTGGTTTTAAAATTGCTGACCAAATGGCCAATTGTAAAAATATCTATGGCCAAACTCAACCTGTAATTATAATCCGTTTAGGTTGAAATAAAATATCACAAATATAAATTTCCAATATAAATGTTTATTTTTTAACTTTGTCTAAGCAGTAAGAAGAAAATTCAATACTTTAGTAATTGCAACTACCATCATCAAAAATACATAATCATTAAAAATGAGGAAATTCTCATTTCGACTTTTTTGTGTCTATGTTACGCTATTCCTCTGACCTTTGTGAACCGATTTCGATGATCCTTTTTTTGTTATAAAGGGGGTAGCTTAGTAGTGATCAAATTTAAAGAAAATATTCCACCTCCAAGGGTGGCAAATTATTCTGTCATTAGTAAAATCCTATTTCACCCGGAAATCCTATTACACTCCCTTTCCGTTAACCAGTTTCAATAAAACTTGGCATGTAGTTGCAGTACCACAAACTACTGAAGTCGTTTCTTTTATTATAAAAAAAAGTTGTTTATTATTCTTTCATTATACTGTAATAAATTATAAATCACACCTTACATTAGAGACTGTAAATAAATTACTTTTTTAACCTTTTGTTTATCTATCAAAAGCCGCTATTTACCCCATAACTCTACGTGCAAAGTAATATACGCTTCAGAGTTAGTACCTATTAAACTATCTCCATAATCGAGTGTCTTGCACAACGGTTTTCATAGTGTCGCCATCTCTAAAGCTCTAGAGGTTTGTGGTTTCCGATTTCCAGAATAATAATAATAAAAACACGCACACACTAATAGATTGGACACAAATTACATATAGTTCTCCCGGCCCGAGATTCGAACCCGGAACCTCTGCGTGGCAGTCCAGCATGGTAACCATTCGGCCACAGAGGCAGTTATATATATAGTTAGAACACATCACAACAACACACACACATTTATTTACCTATAGAAAATAATAGACATAAAATTATTCAACACCTTGTATGTTTTAAATTATGGTTGAGATGTGAAATGACTATTTATTGCAATATAAAAGTTAACATTAATTAAATAACATGATAAATATTAAACAAAAAGGAATAAAAAACAAGAGAAATTAAAATATCTTTAAGTGGAAACAAATAACACAAGCAACAAATCAATAGAACATACTTCACTTATAATCATGTTACAAAACACGTTAGAAACAAAGGGCATTTAAAGTATGTTAAGCAATACGCCTGTCCATAACAGTTGCAGTGTTTTAAATCGCAAGGATCTGAGGGGCACTGCCACTACTCTCGTAACCCTGAGGCATAAGTTGACAAGTCCCATGTGCCTTATACATTTAATAAGAGAAAGAGGAAGAGGATTGTCGCCCTGTGGAGTCGCATCCGGAAAAGTACCAACAGCATTCTGAACGCTATCGCTTGGAGGTTTGACTGTCCAATTGCAGAATATTGGATGAGTCAAACAAAAGGTGTGGCCCAATGGGAGCTGTAGTTGTAGTTTTAGAATTTTCATTTTGTTTGTACTAACCTTACTTTAAGTTTTTTTGCTGTTACTAACCTACTATGGATAATTTAAGTCCGAAATAAAGAAAATTTATTATTATTATTAATAAGACTTTCAGGGTTACTCACTAAATGTTTACCACTAACATCGAGGAAATAAAGACGAAATAAGGACCATCCATCCCTGGTAACTTATCAGGCAAATGGGTATTATATCACATTTAAATATCAACTCTCGTTTGCGCTGAAATCAC